CCCAGGTACAGAACATAAGAGGGAAGAGAAAAAGTATCCCCCCTCTCCTACATTCCCATAAAAGGTATACACAGCAGGTATTCCAGAGCAACAGGACAGATGCCTGTCCTGGGAAAACACTCCAGAGGACACCAATTCTTGGATATGCCCGGACCTTCATACAGATAAGATGGGAGGGTGGAGGCCACTGTGAGAGTGGGATCCACAGATAAAAAGGGGGTCCCTCCAGGATGTGAGGGTCCTGACATCACCCACTGTCTGCCATCCTGGTCTTTGCCCGTCCAACAGTGTCCAGACCTGAGTCACAGATGCTGAGGGGCCATCATGGAAAACAACCTACTTGTAACAAACTGCCCTCAGCAACTTCCATACTTGCTTTCTACCCTTCTCGATACTCCTATTCCTCCTTCCTTCCTGTTTTCTGATTCCAGTTCTCCTACTTGAATCTTTATATTCATATATTGCTTTGGCAAAAATCTCTTGATTTTACAAATTTGTGTGATGAAATATGAGAAGAAGTAACTACAGTTGAATCCGGGAGCTACAGAGGGCACATTTATTTTTCACGTTAATGCCTTTTGCAATAGCTGTAAAGGTGTTCTAATAAGAATTTTGGAAAGAATTTAAAATGTTTTCCTTCTTCCATTGCTATGGCCCTGCTCCTCTTCCTTTGGTGGTGACCCTGGGGAGGGCTTGAAGAGAAGGCGCCACAACTGTTAGTTAGACATGAGAGCCAGGAGGCGGCCCGGGGACTGAGGAGAAGAGCAGAAAGCATGGTTCCTGCCACTTACTGGATTGAGGGCTACTTCTCTGCGTTGTGCCTGCCTTTGATGGGGCAGAGAGAATAACCTGGGCCCCAGAGGGATGTTTAAAGCATTACTTCTATCGTCTGTCTCTTCTATCTACTTCTTCAGCCTCACAGCACAAGTCCCATTCAGTTCAGTTGCTCAATCGTCTCTGATTCTTTGTGACCCCATGGACTACAGCACGCCAGGCTTCTCTGTCCATCATCAACTCCCGGAGCTTGCTCAAACTCATGCCCATCGCATCAGTGATGCCATCCAACCATCTCATCCTGTTATCCCCTTCTTCTCTTGTCCTCAATCTTTCCCAGCATGGGGGTCTTTTCTAATGAGTCAGTTCTTTGCATTAGGTAGCCAAAGTATTGGAGCTTCAACTTCAGTCCTTCCAATGAATATTCAGGACTGATTTCCTTTAGGATTGACTGGTTTGATCTTGCAGTCCAAGGGACTCCCAAGAATCTTCTCTAATACCACAGTTCAAAAGTATCATTCCTTTGGAAGAAAGATCCCCTAGAGAAGGAAATGGCAATCCACTCCAGTATTCTTGCCTGGAGAATTCCACAGACAGAGGAGTCTGGTAGATTACAGAGTTGGAAAGAGTCTGACCTGACTGAGCACATGCGTGAATGCACACACACACATAGATTGGTATATGCACTTCTTTGGTTAGTTTAAAAAGTCACCATCACCCACAAAAAGCCTGTCAGAATACTCCTGGATAAAAAGGACATTAAGGGCACACCATTGTTGTTTTGTCGTTAAAGAGAAACCTTTAACCTGAAATTAGAAGATGACTGCTTCTTGGCAGGAAAGCTCTGACAAACCTAGATAGTGTACTAAAAAGCAAAGACACCACTTTGTCGACAGAGGTCCATATAGTCAAAGCTATGGTCTCTCCAGTAGTCATGTATGGATGTGAGAGCTGGACCGTAAAGATGCTGAGTGCCGAAGAAGTGATGCTTTCAAACTCTGGTGCTGGAGAAGCCTCTTGAGAGTCCCTTGGATTGCAAGGAGATCAACGATGAATTCATTGAAAGGACCGATGCTGAAGCTCAAGCTCTAATACTTTGGACACCTGATGTGAACAGCTGACTCATTGGAAAAGACCCTGATGCTGGGAAAGACTGAAGGTAGAAGGAGAAGAGGGCGTAGAGGATGAGATGGTTGGATGGCATCACTGATTCAATGGACACGAACTCGGGCAAACTCCAGGAAATGGTAAGGGACAGGGAAGACTGGCATGCTGTAGTCCATGGGGTGGTGAAGAGTCAGACATGGCTTGGCAACTGAACAACACAAAGAGAAACCTTGCAGGTGTGCTGTGAGGATTAAATGAGATCATCCACATGATGGGCCCAGAGGAAGCCTGGTCTTTCTTCCATCGGGCTGCCCCACACTCCCTCTGCTGTCTGGTCCTCCCAGTTTGGGGCACTGGTGACTTGCAGACACCTGGGAAAATCAGGGCTTTGGGCACAGAGTAGCTTGGCCACACTCCTCACTTCTCCTTGGACACCCAGGGCCCATTCCTCAAGCATCATATCCTCAACACACCCTCCCCATCCTCACAGGACTCGCCATTTTGTTTGCCAGTTTCCACCAGGAAGACTGCACACCAGCTGCTACCTGACGCAACAAAAGCTCCTGGACAATTAAAGTGACTTGGAATGCTCCAGCTAGCTTGTTGAATAATCTCTTTTTAAGTACTCATTGTTTTCCTGTGTAATATTTTCTTTCCTTCCAGCAGTACTCCTTGCTTCTACTTTCTTCCCTAAATGGAAACTTCATTTGCACATCTTCACTTCTAATCATTTAAAAAGATAGTTGGTTTATTCTTCATATGGCTTTAACCAGCAACTTAAGACTTTTCAGTTGTTATTGTTTAGTTGCTAAGTAATGACTGACTCTTTGAGACCCCATGGACTGTAGCCCGCCAGGCTCCTCTGTCCACGGGATTTCCCAAGCAAGAATACAGGAGTGGGCTGCATTTCCTTTGCCAGGAGATCTTCCCAACCCAGAGACTGAACCTGAGTATCCTGTATTGGCAGGCAGATTCTTTACCACTCAGCTATCAGGGAAGCTCCAAGAACTTTCAGTAGCATCACGCTAATTTCTACACTATAACTGATTTCACTGTTTTTCTTTTCTGACACTCATTCAGCTTCTCCTGACTTACAGTTAAAATTCTTTTGCTGGTTATTGTTGAAAGTATTTTTTTTTGTAGTATTTTTGGTGTATAAAAGAAGTTAAATTTCAGTTTCTGGTTTAAGAATACTGAGCAATCTCTCTACCTGAGAGTAACAAGAGGCTTACCTAATAAGCCTCTTGATGTCTGTATATGTCTAGAGTGGAAAAAAATTAAAAATGGAGAAAATGTGCAAGGTTAGATACTAGTAAATTCTCATAAAGGTGTTCTGAGAACGAATCAGGTAATATCTTAAAGACATTTCAAAATTCCATTAAGAAAAAAGGGCAATGTACTAGCACATAATGCATTATAAGGTAGTCTCCCTTCTTCAGCTAGAACAAAAATGAGACAAGGTAAGAAAAATGTGACAGTGAAATGTGGCTATAAATAAATGAGAATGATCTGTCTAGTAGACTTCAGTCTTTTCTCAGCCATTTGGCTGCATTCCTCAGTAAGCAGTAGTTATGTGGTGAGTCAGCGTGTGTGTGTGTGTGTGTGTGTGTGTGAGAGAGAGAGAGAGAGAGAGAGAGAGAGAGAGAGAGAGAGAGAGATCATACACTATCACTCCTAAGCCCAACCTCATCCTCCAGAGACAGCTGTCAGGCACTCGCTTCCTGGGAACCCGGGGAACAAGAGGACAGGGTCCAGTTCTCACCATTTCAAAGAATGTAGCAAGATCTGGGGGGCACCATGGATTGTCATTTTGGCTATAAAAACTTTAAAATGAATATAAGGAAAAGCCTTTTCCTTGTTTCTCCACCACCGCCTTGCATGAGATGTGTGAAAGGCAATTGTCCGGCCAATCACGGCACTACTGGGAATGACCCTTCTGCAGTGCTTTTTTCTCAGCTGGCCAAACATCTTCCAGGGGCTTTCCCTGAGCAACTGGATGTTAAGGAGGCTGAGGATTGGAGCCATGTGTGGGTGGAGGAGAAAACAGGAAGCGCCTTGTCCTAAATAGTCATTTCAGCCCAATAACCTCAACGTGAGGCCACTCATTAACTAGGGAAGCACCACAATAAACCTTGTATTTACATGAACTAGTTATGACGTGCGATATCCATGTCTCATCACAACTGATAACTCAGCCAACCCCACACTTCAAAAATAATTGCCAGTTTACAATGTACCCTGTCTTGTTTCTCAGGACTGAAACAGGTTTTCCATTTATCACCTCAGTTGCTCCCACAGTAGTCTGCAGGGAACAGGGCCAGATCAGAAGGTGGGTGCCTCCCTTCCCCCACACAATCCAAAAATCAGGAAAAGGATTTCCCCAGAGAATCGAAGCCAGCCAAAGAGCCCCAGTCCCTTCCCTGCCTCTCTGAGGTGTCTGCCACTGAATTTTCTATGAGAAGGAAGCACCACCCGTGAGGGCTCAGGAGCAGATGATAAGACTGGCACGTTTTAATGCGAAACCAGCCCAGCCCAGCAGGCCCTCTCTCCGACTGAACCGGCCAGCCCCCTGCCAGCCTTTGACAGTCCTGGGAGGCGACAGAAAGGGAAGAAAACAGGTGTCGGTGGGGAGCTGGGGAGAGGGTGGGAGAACGCGTGTCCACGATCCACTTTTTCACTTGATGAAACTTTACATTTTTGCATTTCTGAGCATCCTAGCCCAAGGCACACAGAAATAAGCAAGTCCTCCTTATTTTTAAATTACGAAGTCTTCAGTCACACCTTTGTCCGCTGCCCCATCCCATCCTTTTGTTATTATTCCTAAGGTAATTTAAAACCGTAAACCAAAATCCCCGCAACGCTGCTGGTTTGCGCGCGGCAAGCGCAGCCCATTTCAGCACCAGACTGGAGGACAGACGCCATAAGGGGCCCCGTGGTCCATTGACGCCGCCGGAACTGCTCCCAAAGCAGGTGTCCCGGTGATGAGGAATCAAGAGGGCTTCTTCGGGCCCAAAGAAATTTCCCCCAATAAAATGACCAACTAGCCACTCCATCTCTTCCGCTACTACTGGCCCCTCCACTTCTTCAATGGGGGACGTCCCTGCCATGACCTACTTAAGGAAACAGGGTCCCCAGGAGCTTCCCCTGCTTCAAGCCGGACAAATGGGGCGACCGCGACCCCCAGGAGACCCCTTCAACGTTCCGAGTTGTCTGTCCAAACGTGCGCTCGGGTTTCCCAAGGGCTTTGCGGACGGTCCCGGATTCGAGGAGCCCCCGCCGGGCCGCTGATACCCACCTGTGCCGGTGCCGCGAGGGCCGGGCTCGGCGTGCGCGGCCGATTATCACAGGTGTGCGTTTCGCGAGCTTCCCCCGACAGCTGCAGGACGACGCAGGCACCGGACCCGTCTCTCCAGTTCCAGAGACGGTCCAGCCCGAGTTTCCCTTTTGTCTGCGGCTCGCCCCGAGCTCACAGGAGCAAGGGCTGAGCCACCGTTCCCCACCGACACGCCCCGACCGACCCGCCGGCGGGCGCCCACTTACCCGGGCCGAGGGCGCCGCTCACGCTCGGGCTTTGTCTCCGGGGCGGTGCTCGCGCGGGGCGGCCAGACCGAGTGGCATCGCCCCTCAAGCCCGGGGCCGGCTCCGCTCCGGGACTGCCGCACCTCGATACAGACCCGCTAGCGGTGGAAACGCGCGCCCCGCGCCGCCCCTCCTCCGCCCGCGGGGTCTCCGCGCCGCGTCACCGGCCCCGCCCGCCCCGCGCCTCCCGGCCCGGGCGGGGGAAAGACCACGTGAGGCCGAGCCCCGGCCCCGCTGGAGCGTGCAGTCCTCGGACAGCAAGCACTCTGCTCGGCACCCCAGGCCGGGCTCCGGGCGCGCGGCCAGCCCCGGCCCCCGCAGAGCGCGGACCCCCGGCCCCGGCCTCCTCGCGTCCGCGTTTTGTCTCCCCCACTCCACGGCAGGGTCTCGCCGGGCGCCCGGGAGGGGCCGGGAAATCCCGCCCGCCGCCGTCGACGTCACTGATGCGTCACCGGGGCTCCCGCACCGGGGCTCCGCGCCCTCCGCGCGCCCCCCGGGCCCGCTGCCCGACCCCGCGCTCAGTTCCGCGCGCTCCCGGCTCGGCCCCGCGCCCCCCGTCTGGCCCGGCTCTCCACTCGGAGCGCGCGTCGCCCAGGGGCTGGGGGAAGGGAGGTGAGGGGTAAAGGCAGGGTCTTAGGCCGTGGTCCTCGCGGGCTTTGGGGACCTGAGCCTTTGGCGTCTTCATCCTTGCTTGCGGGTCGGTTCCTGGACCAAGCGTGCTGGGCGCGGCCAGTAGCCATCCATTACTAAAGAACACACAATATACCCACCCCACCCCCAAGCGGGGCAGTGAAAGGAGAAATGCTTAATACACAAGGCACTGTAGATTCACAGGGCATTGTCTCCATTTACCGGGACGTTGCTAAGTAACGGGAAATGAAGGGACGGCCGCGCCAGCCCAGCGCTTTCGGGGTGGGAACGAGGCGCGAGCTGTGCTCCTGGGCTGCGCCCAGGGTTCGTAGACAGCAGAAGCTGTTTCCGCTGGGAAATCCTTGGCGATGCTTCATACCTTCTGAACTGTAAGCGTTTTGCGATGGAGATATTTTAAACTTCTCCGTTATTATCATCCCTTGCCTTTAGGGAGAAACAGTTTAGGCGCCGTCCATTTTTCCAACTCCTGGTAAAATAATACAAAATCTTTGGAATAGGAAAGCTACGTTACACTTCAAGCAGTGTTATCCAGATTGGTAGGAAAAGGAGGCCAGTACCTTCCTCCCTTGCGGTAAAGGGCGCGAGGTCCACTGGGTTCTTAGATCTCGAATCCGAGTTGACTTGACATTTGCCTCAGACTATGTGCACCTTCCAAGACGCCAAGTGTCTGACGCAAACGCAGAGGTCAGGAAGGCCCACCTGGGGCCAGCAAACATCTCACGCAGATATTTTTTTCCCCCCACAGCTTGGAAATCCCCATTTAAGGCACATAATTAAGCTATGATAAAATGACTCAGCCAGTGCACTGACCTTTTTGGAAAAGTGAGAAGGATATATGAGTACTGTATTTAAAATTCAACAAATCTATAATTGGGCTCATTATTTCCACCCCAAATCGATTTCTTCTGTATTTCCTTGACTCAGAGGCACCACTCCCCAGGTAGCTGGCTAGAGTTGAATCCTCCGTTTCCTTAGTATCCCAACTCCCATCTCAATTAATTCTAATCAGTCAATTTGAAGGGAAATCTATATCTACACTTTCAGATTCCTCACTTAATTGTTCATTTTAAAGAGAAAGAAGAGGATCATTCGGAGCCAGTGGCTCCCCCAGTGAATCCATTGACCAGCAGGGTCAGCGTCACCGGAGGCTTGTCAGAAATGCAAATTTTCAGGACCAATCCCAGCCCTGCTGAATGGGAAACTCTGGGGATGCAGCCCAGCAGTTGGTGATGTCAGCGTTCCTCTCTAGGTGATTCTGATTCTGTCTTATCTCTGTCCATTAGCCAGGACTGCTGTGTTCACAAAAATTCAATTAACCATCAAGCTAAGAAGAAAAGGGAGTTTTATTTGAGCCAAACTCAGGATTACAACCCAGAAGATAGAAAGCTCTGAGAACAGTTCCACCTATTAGAAATCAAAGGCACAATCATATACTTTTTCGAGACAAAAGATTGTATATCAAAATGGCATGTTAATTTTTTTACATGAAGTCCCCTAGCGACATAGGATATTATAGTCCAGGTAAGCCCATACATAACCCCCTACAGAGCTGAGAAAGAAGCTTCTTGAAAGAAGCTGGTCTTTTACGAAGTTACATTGATAGAATCAGAAGAAAGGGTGGAAAATGATCTTCCAGCAGGCACTCTCATCTTGGAGAACCTTAATATGCATATGTTAATATGCATATGGTTAATATGCAGCAGAAATGTGCACTGCACATGGGAGGGAGGAGGTCCAAATGGACAGAAAGAGGCAATTTTGTGTTTAAATTTTCTTGTCCTGCCTAAAAATGTAAATTTTATTTTCTTAGCTGCTGTCACCTGCAACCTGGCTCCAGACCCTGGACATCTGTTTCCCTTCCTTTGCCCTGGGGTCTGGTATCTTTGATATCCATATAGCCCTGTAGATTTCTTACAACAGTGTTTGTATGATGTATATTTTCCCATCCTTTTAAACTTACTTGTATCTTTATTCTTAAAGAGGGAATCTCTCTTCTTGTAGGCAGCAGAGAGTTGGATCTTGCTTTTATATTCGGCCTGACAAACCTGGCCTTTTAATTGGAGCATTTGGATCACTTACTTCTTATGTAATTATCATGTGGTTGGGTTTAAATCTAGAGTCTTGCTATTAGTTTGTTTTCTATTTGTCCTATCGTTGTTCAGAAGTTTTCCTCTTTTTTTTTACAGTTGAGGTATAGTTGATTTATTAATATAATATTGTATTTGTTTCAGGTGTGCAACATAGTAATTCAAAATTTTTATAGGTTATACTCCATTTAAATTTATCATAAATATTGGCTATATTTCCTGTGCCGTATATCTTTGTAGCTTATTTATTTTCTAGATGGTAGTTTGTATCTCATAATCCCAAATCCCTATCTTGCCTCTCTCCAATTTCCTCTTCCCCATGGGTAACCACTAGTTTGTTCTCTGTCTGTCTCTGTTTTGTTATATTCATTCTTTTTATTTTTTTTATTCCACAAATAAATGATAACATTCAGTATTTGTCTTTATCTTATTTATTTCACTAAATGCCCTCCAAGTCCATCCATGTTGTTGCAAATGGCAACATTTTTATACTTTTTATGGTTGAGTAGTATTCCATTGTGTGTATATAAGTTTATACACATCTTCTTTATCTAAATTCATGTATTGATGGACACTTAAGTTGCTTCCATATCTTCCATATCATAAATAGTGCTGCTGTGAACATTGGGCTGCTTTTATCTTTTCAAATTAGTATTTCCATTTTCTTCAGATTTATGCCCAGGAGTGGAATTACTGGATCGTATGGTAGCTCTAGGTTTAGTTTTTTGAGGAACCTACAAACTGTTTTCCACAGTGGCTGCAACAATAACATTTCCTCAACAGTGTAGGAGGGTTCCCTTTTCTTCACACGCTCTCCAACATGTTTTTATGTGTAGACTTCTTGATGATGGCCATTCTGACTGGTGTGTGCTATACCTTATTGTGATTTTGATTTTCATTTCTCTGATAATTAGCAACGTTGAGCATCTTTTCATGTGCTTGTTGGCCATCCGTATATCTTCTTTAGAAAAATGTCTATTTAGGTCTTCTGCCCGTTTTTTGATTGGGTTGTTTGTTGTCAATTATATCTCAATAAAACTGGAAAAAATTTAAAATAAATCACATAAAATATAAATTATTTTTCATTTCAGATACTTTATCTCTAGAATTCCCATTTAGTTTTCTGGAACCTTTCATTTTTCTTGTTAGATTTGTTTTTCTTTAAATCCTTGAGCACACTGAACATATTTTAGTAGTTATTTTATTATGCTTCTCTGTGAATTCCACTTTCTTTCCTTTCTTGGTTTGTTTCCTTCAAATGAGTTTTCTCCAGTTTAGGGTCACATTTTCTTATTTCTTGCCTTACCTAGTAATTTTTGAATTGGATGCTAGACATTGCTAATGTATGTTGCTGTGTGCCTAGATTTTGTTGACTTAATAGGGACTTTGTCCTGGCAGGCAGTTAAGTCCCTTCGGGATCAGTTTGACACTTTGGAATCTTATTTTAAAGGACTTCAGCCTCTGTTCTAGGACGAGTTTGGCCTTCCTGCTGTGATATGACTCTTCTGAGGTATTGACTGGGTATCTGTATGTTCAACAAAGTCTTTTCCTTTGATTGGTTAGACTCAGTTCCCCTGGGAGCTCTAGGAATTGTTGAGCGCACGGCTCCCTGGGAGTTCTCCGCTCAGACCTAGGGCATTTTGTCTTCTGCACATGACTTAGCATTCATTCAGCCAGAGTCTCCAGGGGCTCCACAACCGGGAGCCTGGTTCTCTTTGTCCTGGCAGCAACCTTCTGATGAGCTCTGTGCCACAAATCCCAGTTTCTCAGCTTCCCCAAACTCTAATCTCTGATCCTAATTTCAAGACTTCTGTATTCTTCTAGGAGAAGCCCCTTCTGTACCGTGGCTTGTAAGTGCCCCCAGGCAGAAAGCTGAAGCAATGACAGGATTCACTTAGTTTGTAGCCTCTTCCTCAGGGATCATGGATCTGTGCTGCATGTTTTCCAGTTTGAAAATCCTTGTTTCACACAGGATCTCCAGTTTCCAGCTGTCTGTGATGGCAGGGTGAGTCTGATCTCAATTTTCCCAAAGTGAATGGGAGCAGAAGTCCTTGGTTTATCTTTTTAATTTCCCCTCATTCCCTCACTTTCACCTTCTGGCCCTGACTCACTGACCGCTTCCACTTTCTGCTTTCTTATACCTTAGAGTCTGGGCAACACTGGTTTCCTTCTGCTGCTGCTGCTGCTGCTGCTAAGTCACTTCAGTTGTGTCCGACTCTGTGCGACCCCATGGACTGCAGCCCACCAGGCTCCTCCGTCCCTGGGATTTTCCAGGCAAGAGTGCTGGAGTGGGTGCCATTGCTGTCTCCACTGGTTTCCTTCTGCCTTGATCCAAATCTAGTAAGATTCTTTTTTCTTCAAAATTTCTTAGAAATATTTGTGTCCAGTATGTCTAACTCCTATCTAACTAGGAGTACACATGAGTGGATTTTACTTGGTTGTAATAAAACACTATGTGTACAATATTATCTATAGAAAGCACACAGATAATTAGCTAATCCTCTAAGAAGAAAACAAAAGTCTTGAAATGAGGATGAAATTAGCTAAGTAACCATTTGTATTTAGGTTATATCAACAAGTATGAAAATTCTAGTTTTTTTCCTAAAAATCTCAGAAAAAGTAGTCTTTTTTCTTAATGCTTGAAATGGTATTCTAATAATACTTAAAGTTTTTTTTTTTTTTACAAAATTGATATCTGAGGATGAAAGAATGACTTACTGTGATCAGCCTTCAGAAATTTTGATAAGAACAGCTTAATTTACTTTGGGAATGAGCCAAATTTTGCCACAAAACACTCTTTTCTAAACTCATCTCTCATTAACTTTGTTCATGACAGAAAAAACAAGCTCAGCACTTGAGCAAGGATACTGTAGC